GCCGCGCCAGGCTGGGCTTGGCCGGGCCGGACTGGGCCGCGGCCTGGCGGGGACAGCCGGCTCCCCCCTGGGGTTTCGAGGTCACCCTCGGGGAGGGCAAAATCGCACCGCCTGAAGCAGGTGGCCGGCCCAGGGTGGGTATTCGTGACAAACTGAGGGGTGAAAAATGGAAGCAGCCATCCCTTCAAAAGGTTTTGGCAACCAGTCAGCAACAAAAGACAAATTGAGGCCCTGGTGAAATGTCCGGGGTGAAGCAGAAGTGTAGGAAAGACCCCAATGGAAATCTGTCAGAGACCCCGCATGCATGACAGCAAAGCAATCACTGCTGTCTGTGGCTTCTTTTCCAGCCGAAACCGCATTAACCATATTTTACAGCTATGCTTGCCTTAAGGAAGGGAGAGGATCCCTAATGCCTCGTCATTTATTGCTGTGAGCCCACAATAGCCTGTGCCTGGGCTTTACGGGCCTTGCAGGGCCTTCAGCAGGAGCAAAGGGCGTGGGACCAGAGACTGTGTTTCCCAAGTGCTCCAGCTCTCCCGCAGCTGCCCTGCCCGCCGGACACCAGCGGGTGAGGCAGCCTGGGGAGTCTGCAGCCCTGCAGACACAGCTGAGGGCAAAGGGGCCTTCATGATTGTCTCCAAAAAAATGGACAACCAGCTAGACTTCCCTCCTGACACATCATAGAGCACCCCGGAGTTGATGGATAGGGGAGAAGTTGTTCTGAAAGTTCCTGGCATTTTGTGGTGTGAACCCTGACTGGATTTTGAAGCCCTGTCAGCACAGCTTTGCCCAGGCAGGCCACCCCCAGGCATTGCAGATCAGCAGGCTCTGCATCCTGGCCGTGCTTTAATGTGCTTTTACTCTCCACAGACGCCTTTACAGCTTTTCCTAGGTTGCTTAGATCCTAATCTGCATATTGTCCATGTAATCCATCTCTGCTTTTCCTGTATTACTTCTTTCCAGTTCACCTGGCATAACCGAAAGCCAACTGCATTTCATTGCATCAGTGACAAGATTCTTGCAATCCTGTCTTGCTCAGTGTCCTAGTCTAGCTGTGACAGACAACTCAGGACAGACAGAGGAATTAATGTTTGAGCAAAAGCAGAGAACATAAAAATTCTCATTAGGGGATATGGTAGTTAGGCCCCTAAGAGCACTGCTCAAGAAAAACAGCTCAAAAGAGGAACCTTGCAAGGCAGATTTATAGTGGCTGCTAGGTCATGCAAGAGTCAACTCAGCTAGAAGGCCCTGCTCTCACTGAGGGAACAGAGGAACTATGGAGTGTGTGGGGAGGAGTAGAGGAGAGAGGGGGTCACTCAGCCCCCAGACTGCTGTTCAGGGCATGTGGGAGCACAGGGATGGCACTCATCCCAGGAGGGTGTCAGGGGCACCTACTGTTAGCACATGGCCCCAGAGACAGGAAAGAGGAGGCAGAACCCAGGCACTGCTGGAAATTGTGGCCATCCTTGGTTTTCAGCATTTAATACCTTTCACAAAGGGCTTTAACAGTTTGAAGAAGCAGATTATTCTCTGGATTGTGACTTGCTTCAGGCTGATCACATGGGAAAGCCCAGGCTTAGTGCAACTCTTCTTTTGTGTTTCTGCCATGAGAAGTGAAATCCCACAGTCCGGCATGATGAGCTTTGGGGAGCAGAAATTAACTGTGATGTCCCCCAGAGAGGCAAAGAGAGAGCTGAAATACATTAAAACTCAGTCTCACCACCTCCTTATGGTATAGTCTGGGAAGGACAGTACAAGGATGCAACAGCTCATTGTAAAGCTGGATACGCAATTCAGGTTTTCTGGTCTTTAGGTTGTCTAAAGGAGACAGAAATAATGATGTCATTTTCAAATTTCACTTTCCTACCATGTAATAACTGAAGTAGCCTACCTCTGGTGTTTTCCTGTGTTGTCCCTAGAAATGCAGTTTTCTGAGATTTCTGGTGCTCAGTTCAAGAAAGGAGGTGGCTTTGGCTCTCTGGCTTGCTTTGTGTCATCTCAAGCCCCTTGTCCACACTGCTTGGGGTCAAACAGCCTCCAGTTGCCATAGCCCTTCCCTCACAAAGCCTCTGGGGGAGAGAAGATACACTGGCATGTACCATGACCACAAGACCAGCAGCATCAGTGTTTGCAATCAACAGATCGGGACGGTTTATGGTTTTGTTCACATTACCGTGTTCTGGGCTTTCTAATATAGGTCAAAGCAACCAATACCACAGGGGCAAACTAAATGCAGTGAGCACTTTGGTTTTTTAGCTGTTACCTCAGCTGAAGACATACCTGACTATTTTGCAAATGGCTGCTTGGACATTGTAGGAACTTGAGAAAAAGGATGCTGAAAAGACAGCTCAAATTAGTGTTAACACCAGCCACATGGAAAAGGGTCTTTAAATACTGAATTAGGCAGAGGGAAAAAAAGGCTAGCAAAGTCAGATAGCCACAAAAGCTAAAAATGTTCTTAGGGCACATGTGACACTGCAAAAGTCTTCAGGTCAGCAGTCCAGCAGTCTAACATGACTACTCTGCAGTCTACCCAATCAAGTCAAACACTTTGCTGGAGGCAAATCCACCTGAAAAATTAGACCTGGAGACAAGTAGAGGGGCTAAGCTCCCAAAAAAGCAAAGCATTTCCAAGTACAATTTGCAAGATTTCCACCAAGTGCTTGCAAATTTTTGCCCATATTTTTGTTCATATGATGTGGCTTTCTGTCTGATCTGTGGTCTTCTAACAGTACTTCTACCGCTTCTCAATGTCATCTTCCACTTTTTGGAGGAGGAATTGCCCGAGTTTTGTCCTTTTGGGAAGATAAAGGAGGGAAGTTGGCAAATTAAAATGCGTAATGCAGGCTCCCCTTCTTAGCACTTTTTAAAGACCAGTCCCAGTTCTCCCATAAGTGCTTTGTTATTATTTAACCCAGAAGACTGGAAATGAAGCCTTGGACCAGCTAGAATTCCTCCTGCTGCTGCTACAAAAGGACCTTAGAAGCCATCTGCAAACCTCTAAAGACAGGTATTTTTATCTTGGATCAGAACTGTCATATCAGCCTTTTCTTTTTTCCCAGGGCAAACGTGACTTCTACCTGTACAGCCCTGGCTGAAGAAGCTCTTAAACACCTTGTTCTGCTCTAGCATGACAGGAAATAACCTTTCTTTGCCACCTCCCAACCTCCACAACTCTCCAAGATGTGGTGGAGAATGGAGCAATACACCTACACAGAGTCTTTTAAAACAGATGGCTGGTAAGTCAGGTTTCAGCGTACACTTCCCAAAAATCATATGGCTTTTGAGTGAGTCACATCAGCACTGTTACCCTTCCCTTTGCATTTGGACTCCTACGTACACCACCATTTACTGAGCAGTCAGAGTTCATTTGCAGAAGGCATCAACATCAAGATCTTGGGTCATGAAGAATTAAACTGACTCCTTTTTTTTTTTTTTCTGTTAAAATCATACTTGCACAGACTCTCTGTGGAGTGCATGAAGCATGCATTGAGTCTATTGGAGTGGCTTTGTGCTTCTTCCATGTCTGATTACCTCTGATGCCATCTCAAAATGCTCTGTCTAAAAAGCTCTGGAAGTTCACTTGCCACTATAATTTTAAATAAAGGTAACTACAGGCTTTGGTTTGTTTTGTCCTTTCTTTACCTACCTTCCCAGTTCTCCCTGACATTACAATAAAACCTAGGTGGCAGCAGAGAAAAATTCTGACTTGACTCACTCAACAAGGATTTACAGTTTTACACTAACCATTCAAGGAATTAGAGGAGCAATAGCAGTGATGTAATTAGGAAAAAACAGAGTATTTTAATACCATTAATTTATTTAACATCAGCTTTTACCTTTACATCAGTTGCAGCAAGCCTATTTTTTTTTTTAGAAAGTCCTGTTTTCATTCTCAGGGATGATAACATGCTACACATAAAACATTAGCCTGTCTGGAGCTGCAACATTCGTCAGCTGAGGGTTGAAGAGAGGAAGGCCCCAAGACTGCAGTTATTGAAACACACGGGTCTGAGTGGGAGTCGAGTGAGTATTTTTTACTGAGAACACGTCAACCAAGAGAGGGAGCAGCAGAAATGAAACGAGAACAAATCAGGACTCCAAGAATGAAAGAGGTACGCCTCTCCAGCTTCGGCTTCAAGTGTTAGCTCAGTTTTTGTATAAATGTACGATCTTCTGTATGATTTATCATTTCTTAGAAGGTCTCCTCTTTCTTTTCCAGACTAGAATACTTGCTGCTTTTATTTGCTCCATGTTGAAAAAGTAATAGAGGCATATGTTAATGTCCTGGAAATAAAATTGGAAAATTTTTCAACAAAGAGGTAACAGCAAAGGCTTGAGTAATTCATATTCAAAAAATATTTAATTTTCAGACGTTCATTATATGTGTTAACTTCTTGGTTACAGCAAAAAGATTGTAACATTCAGCATCACAGTGACATATAATCAAGCCATAACAGTGCAGTTTATTACAACTGTGTAAACAAAAGAAAGTATTTCTGTAATGGCACTCTCCATGAACCAAATTCTGGCATACAGAATCTCAGCAGACATCAAAAGAAACATTTACAAAGAAAAGAAAACCCCAAATTGAAGCACAGTATATGAACCTGGCCAAAATAGCCTAAATCCACATTTCATAGGAGAAAAAAGTGTCCTCAGAAATTTTGCTTGCTTGCTTTTAAGGAAATTCAATCTGATTTTTTTCAAGGCATCACTCCATCATGTGAAATATTTTTACTATTACTGAATGATATGAACAAAGAGTAAACATCTCTGAATTATAATCATGTGTGTATCTCCCACTGTGACATTATTGAAGGAGACAAGATATGATTTGGGAATGTTATTATCTGTATAGCATGATACCTGCAGAAGGTATTCCTGAGAAAATAAAAATAAGTTATTGAGAAATAAAATCCAATGTGTTCCATCCAATACATTTTTTTGTGTGTAAAACATCTAACAGAAAAAGTAGTATCTTACTTTCCTGTAACAGAAGGAAGCGATTTGATTATAAGACAATGTACATACTGCAAACTGTAAGATGGGGTTTGAATTTGAAATACACTCATCTCAAATAGATTTTAAACATTAGCACCTAAAACGTAACTCTGGGATTTAAACAATTTTAGTAGCTCTCAGGTCACGCATCAGTTATGGCTTGCTTGACGGATACAATCCTGACAACTATGTTTTAGTGTTCTGTGAGATTGTCTTAATGAAAACACGTAAATCTGAACGCCGCTACATTTTACATGTGTACCTTTCATACGGGAAGTTTTGCATATGTTCCATCTGCAGAGAGAAGGCCCCACAGTAGCAGGAGGTATAGACAGAGCAAAGGAGTTACAGTTATTAAAAAATACTGGAAAACTGGGAGTACATGATATAATTACAAGCTGGTATCTTCAGTTTACAGTAAGCTATAAATTTGCCTGTTTAAAAAAGACATCCAACATGTGCTTACTCACATGCTGACACAGAGTTCATGCAAACTATTAAAAAAAAAACCAAACCAAAACCTTATAAATGTTATCCTTCAGAAATGCTGTATATACCTCATCCTCAAATAAACCAAAGCCCCCTCAGAAACAACAGGGACCTCATGTGCAGATCAACTCAAGCAACATGTAATTGCTTCCTCTGTAATGAGAAGTGAACAGCAGTATCAACCAGGAAATTTCATTGAATCGTACTTCATTTCAAACACTGTTAAGTCCAAATCCAGGTTCACTTGTCATTAAGCAATAAGACTAACTTTAGAAAAACAAAAAGTTATTTTCTTGGAGGAAGGACATTTTCTTCATAATAGCCTGGATTTACTACATTTCCAGCTGGATCATATCTAGCCACCACAAATGTTGAGCCATCACTAGCAGATGCTTTTCCAACTCCCATCTTTTTTGTGTTCTTCCAAACCATTGCTGTGAAGTGACCTGAAGAAATGGAGAGAAACATACGCACACATTTTAGATACTAAATCTGTAACATTCCCTTTAACACGTGAGGGGCATGAAAAGAAAGAACAATATAAAAATGTTTCTTTCTCTAGCAGGAGAACAAGCTAAGGACATGAATAAAACCCCTACATCTAGCATTTTGTCTTGAAAAAGCCTGATCTGATCTGGTTCAATGCTACTATTATCATTTCCATATCCAAATAAGAATACTTAGTAGGAGAACCATAAAAGAAGTAATTTTATGAGTATCTGATATAAAATTTGACAAAGACATCCCAGTCTTTACCCCCTGCAGTGTGAATAGCAGCTCTGACAGTGACTATTACTCATTTACTTCAACCATCTCATACTCCCCCATTGTCTGCATGCGCAACTGTTCAAAATAATACTGGTTTTGTGGCTTCTTCTGCCTAGCTGTAATAGCCACCCCTGCATTGTGCTGCTCCATCAGTTGTTCCCTCTACGCATAGACAAATCCCATAGGAGAAAAACATGATTTTCTTCATCTGAAACAAGCTCAAGCATATCCCTTGCTTGAGTGTTATTCAAAGAACAATGTTCTTTTGTTCATTCAATACCTGATTGTCAATAGGCAGTCAATGGCCTGTCCTGATATCCAAATTACATCTGAAGTGATCTCTGTGATTGGAGTGATATAATTTGGTAGAAATCACGTCAGTGTAAGCAACAGCATAGTACATTTAGTAAGATACTTACATGATTCTAATTTAGTATTTTCTACAAATTAATTTGCCTTAAAAATAAATTGTCTTTCAAAAACTTTGGAGTTGGGGGACAAATACAGTATTAAAAACCCTGCAAATTTTGCTTACTTCCTCATTTCTCAGTTTCCTTTTACCCTTTTGTGAGTTTCTAACATAAAACTTTGAAGAAATTCTATTTTTTTTTTCCCCCTCTCATTTTTTTTTCTAGGAAAGGAAGATTTTTGAAAAATACCTAACAAGTTGGCTAGCCAAATTCTTAAAATAAAAGATGCACTTTTGAAGAAACAGTGCTGTCTGAACTTACCTGTCCCAGAAGAAAACCCTGGGTTTTGAAAGCTGTAATTTTTTATTTCACTGTACCATCTGTCAGCCACATCCTTTCCTGAAAGACAAAAGAAATCTGCTGTGGAATTATGACATAAACACAGAAGTGTAGCTTGTTCACAGCCTGGCCAGCAAGATGATCTGTTAATAGCTGGCAAGAACTTCTATAAACATGGAGAAACAGTCTTTTTACTGAGAAGAGTTTTTGATGTGTAGGTAACATGCTAGTACACATACCTTACCAAATCCTTATTGTTTTGCAATAGCTGTTGCTACTCAGTTATCATAGAATCACATAACCGTTTAGGTTGAAAAAGACCTTTAAGATCATGAAGTCCAACCATAAACCCAACACTGCCAAGTCCACCACTAAACCATGTCCCTAAGTGCCACATCTACCTGTCTTTTAAATACACCTAGGGGTGGTGACTGAACCACTGCCCTGGGCAGCCTGTTTCAGTGCTTGACAACCCTTTAACTGAAGAAGTTTTTCCTAATATCCAACCTAAACCTTCCCTGGCACAACTTGAGGCTGTTTCCTCTTATCCTATCCCTTATTACCTGGGAGAAGAGATTGACACCCACCTGGCTACAACTTCATTTCAGCTAATTGTATAGAGCAATAAGGTCTCCCTTCAGCCTCCTTTTCTCCAGACTAAACAATCCCAGTTCCCTCAGCTGCTCCTTGTAAGACTTGTTCTCTAGACCCTTCACCAGCTTTGTTGCCTTTCTTTGGACATGTTCCAACACCTCGGTATCTTTCTTGTAATGAGGGGCCCAAAACTGAACCCAGTATTTGAGGTGTGGCCCCTCCAGTGCTGAGTGCAGGGAGACCATCACTTCCCTAGTCCCGCTGGCCATGCTATTGCTGACACAAGCCAGGATGCCATTGGCCTTCTTGGCCACCTGGGCACACTGCTGCCTCATGTTCAGCCGGCTGTCAATAAAGACTCCCAGGTCCTTTTCCACCGGGAAGCTTTCCAGCCACTCTTCCTAATTTACTAAATTACAGATTAGTCCTATTCTTTTTGTTAAGCGTCTCATGCCATCAGCGACTGGAGTTCTGCTCGACACAAACACAGTCCATCAGTTTCACCAGGGACCACATGGCCAGCACAGCCAGGCCAGGCAACTCATGAAACAGCTGTAGGACTAGGTAGAGGGAAGAGTGGGAAGATCTCTGCAGCAAGGTGCTCATCTGGTAGGTGAGAGCTGATGAAGAGCACTGTACTATCAACAGCAGATTAGGAAACAGAACCATCCACCAGTTCTTGTCTTCTGTTAAAACTTTACAAGGTAGAAGTTATAAGAATCTTCAGACAAGAGAGTTCTGTGTGGCACAGCATTTGGATCAAGATGGGGCAGAAATACACAACTTAAAGAAATGTCCTCAAATAAAGCATGTGGCAATTTAACATACTGAGTTTACACTTTTTTCTGACCAGAACCTTCTGTAACTTTCAGCCTGGAAGGCTCCTCTTGGATGAGTGCTCCTGTCATTAGCCTTCTACATACAGCTTTCACCACCTCCTCCCTCTTGGAATGTGTTTGAAAGGACTTAAGTGAGCCTTGCCAGATTTTCTGAACAAAAGGGCACAGGACCTTTCTACAGGGAAGCTTCCCACCTGTGGATGCAGGCATATGAAGACATCCCCTTACAGCTCCAAACAAACCAAGGAAAAGCGACACTTCTGACATCCTCTGGTTTTCCATGTTCTCATTAGCATTTAATACTCAAATTTCTGAGTGCATTTCTTTTTTAGTGGTTCTTACTTAGCACTTGAGCCATTGTGAGTGTCCACTTTGAGGCACTCTATCTCAGGGTACTACAGACACCTCAAACATATGTGCCTAGGAGCTGCTGCTGTGTGGAACTCCTTGTGTCCAGCACTGTCTCATCTCATCAAAGGCTTTAACTGACCACAGCTGTGTAAGGGCTATGACTATGGCCAGCAATGTAACATTACATGTCTGTGGCTCTCTAAGGTTGATGTCTGCTGAAGAAATAATCCTTCCCTGTTTTTTTATGTTGAACAGTTAAGAAGCCTGATAGAAAGGAGCAGATTCTGCTAATCTGCAATGGGTCCCATGGAACAGGCAGCACAGAGGGCAGAAGCTCAGGCCAGAACTTGCAGATTCTATGCACTCAAAATTAAAAGTCTTTTTTTCCATTACTGGTTGTTAGGAAATTCTTGTGTCAAACATTGCAGGGGGAAAGGGGGCAGGTTTTTCCCTGAGCTACATCAATAATGAAATTTCTGCTTAGCATTCCAGGATGTATAACACAAGGCCGGTTGATTTCATAGCAAGCTGCCAATACTGTTAAGCCTGCCGTCATGAAGAACTCTGGTCCCTGGTGGACTATTGGCTGCAGAACAGCAATGACTCATGTTTTGCTATTTTGCAGCAAAAAGTCTTAAACTTGCACTGTTCCAGAAGTCAGACACTGCATTAACTTCTTTAAATTTCAGATTCTTATGAGCGTAGTCTGTTAAAAGGATGGTGGTGTTAGCCTGGCAAGTCAGAGCTGTCATTGAAAAGAAAATATTGAATGAAATGACATCTCTTGAGCGGTTTGAGAACCAAAAGTACAATGAACTTACTTATGCCATACTGCTTGTTAGGAATAGCACTCTCTTAGCAGAGTCAATTTACATTTTCTACATTAAAAAGTACCAAAACCTCTCTTGCTTCCCAAAGTAAGTGTTTCAGGAACAACAATAGGTTCTTATCTCCCTGCTCTCTCTGTGCCAAACAACAGACCCTGTAAACCTGTTTTACAGCTGAAGTCTGTAACACAAATAAGTATGTGTTTGTTTGTTACTCACACTAAAGCTAAAATGAGGACTGAAGAAAGTGCAAAGAGCAATTTTTATGCAATACCAGGGGAAAAGAAAAAGCACACAGTAAAAAACACACCAAACAAAACCAAGCAGATCATCCTGTCCCACCCTAGACTTCAAAGCCATGAAGGATATAGACATGTCAGTGGTAAGATGGGTGGAACAGAAGTACAGAATGTGACTGCAGACATGTCAGGCCTTATGAAGCACCTGTACTTTATGTATACAAGTGGTAAGTGATATTTTGTAAGTAGCATTTTTACAGATATAGGACTGCATTCCCACTGCTACCAGCACTCAATTCCCTCTGTTAACATATCACTGTGATATAGCATAAAGAGTGGTTCAAGAGAAAGTCATTCCCACCCTGCTCACTGTAGCTCTAAGAAGTGTACCTAGGCTCTATGTGAAAAGAACTTAAAATCTCCATAATAGAAATATTGCAGGACACAAAGAAGTTTTGATAAAAACAATAGCTATTCATATGTTCTCTTTTTTTCCTTTTCTTTTTAATTTAAGAATACCATCATGTGAAAATGTGGTAACTTTAATTCACGGAAGATGGCAATGGCATCAGGTAAGAATACCTCAATCCCGTACATGAAAGACAACAATCACAGTTGGGTAGCAAAATCTATGACATGTTAATTGCCAGCCTTTGCAGATGAAAGCTTGCAACTTACTGCAGCCAGGCAGTGAAAGCCTAGAAGCTCATAGCTATGCTCCGTTTTTCATGTGCAGGATCAGATTATCATTATATGGCATTGCTGTCATCCTCCTTGAATTAAAAGAGTCATTGCGTCAGGCTATGAGAAAGACTAACTTGTTCCCGGCAAAAGAGAAGGTGACCAAATGACTAGGCAAATTTTGACAGACTCTGTCTTGAAATCATGTTAAAGAAGCATCCTGGAAGCGAAAGGAATGAATTGTACCTGTCATACACCGCAGGAGGTGAGGGGGGTCCTACGTGGAAGTTATTACCATGTGAAAAGACAGGTAGGTACCTAGTGATTAAATGCGCTCTCTTTCCTCTGACATACTTTTCTTCTGATTCTTTGCTCCCTGGGGAGCAGTAAATAATGTGGTGCTGGGACAGAAGCCAGTGTTGAAAGTGACAGCTGATACACAGGGGACTAAGGAGAAACTCTGCTTTGAGCCCAGTGACCCCCAAGCTTTCAGAGAGAGAGCAGCAAAGGGGTCAGCAGAGCACTGAGCTTACCTGTTTTAGCAGCAACTTGCATCCTCAGACTTGCTGGTTCACAGAACTGACCACAGTATTTCCATTTCAAATTACTACAGAATGAATGCTGCAGTCATATTTAGCATCTGCTTCCCTTGCATCTCAATGTTTTGTTGAAAATAGCTACCACTCCCCCCAAAACAGGGGTTGGTTGCTGCTCAAAATGCATTTCAATCAGAAGGAACGAACATAGAAAAGAAATCTCACTCCCACCACTCATTCCTGATTATAGCAGAAATGGTAGAAGTTTACTTCTATCAAAAAGCATGAAGGTCTCTCCTACAGTCAATGTTGCAGCTTCTCTTCTGTGGCTTCACTTGCAGAACTAATTAGTATACAGCTGTTTTTTTAGAAGTACCCTTCCTGTTTGCATTGCTGTAAACCACATTCAAAGTTTCAACACCTTCTCTATGGAAACACAGTTTGACTCCACCCTTCTCCTAGCTATAGCTGACTGATGACCTGCTTGGTTAGATTTGCTAGATGTTCATTTCAGAGCAGGCTGAATCTCGGTTTAGCAAGTTTCATCAGTTCCATGACTCTCTGGACACATCTACATCACATAAAAACTTGGTGTAACACTTTTTGAATGAGCATCCAACTAAAGTTCTGCCCAAGACTAGGTCCAGAACTTTATCTACCCAAGCTATAAGCTAGTAAGATGGCTACACTGACTGAAAGGATTGACCATATGAGGTAGGTCCATATATAGGACTAACAGTCCTGTAGTAAAGTTCTGCTGATACGTCTCTGAAGGATAGACATAATAAGGGACCACCGCATGTAAACAGGTGTCAATACTCTTGCCTGGCCATGCCCTGCACCTCATCTGTTGTACTGTTGCCTCATTAAATTTCATTTCTACTTATTATCCTGGGTGAGGAGCTCTATTCTGTGTGGATGGCAGGAGGGGGTGTATGTGAGTGCCAGTAACTGGTATCAGACCAAGGGTTGCAGGGAATGGGTGTCTGCAGCGCCAGCAACTGGAGCACCAGCGTGGGTATGAGCGCTAGTGAAGCGCCGGCTGGACTAGACAGCGAGCAGGAATTGCTACAGAAGTGTATGGCCACTGCAGGGACAATGCAGGTCTTGGGTGATGATCAGAGAGCTGCAGGTGCGTGTGTGCAAGATGCACTGTTCTGGCATCTGGAGTGAAACCACAGCCTCAGTGGTTGGTACCCCCATGTGCAAGCAACTGTGGAGACCGGGATCCAGGGACAGCCACTCCGCAGACTGAGTGTCTGAGCTTAGATGCTGCAAGGATCCACACTAGAATTTTATTTCCATTACTGGTATATACATATATATATATATATATAAAATTTAATGCTATAAAATATAAATCATATCTATTTGTTAAAATCCATTACTGGGAAATATATTCTTTTATATGTCTATATTATTTACATACATTCCAGTAACATACATCACTGCAATCAGCCAAAAAGGGAAGGGGATGAGGCCACTGATGCTGTTCCTTTTGATGTCGACTGCACCTGTTTGTGCTGATTGTGTTGTTGCCTGCATGTATACACAGGTACCTGCTGTATATATGTGTAAGCCTGGGAATACATGCTCAGCCTCAAGACTGGGAACACAAGGCTGTGGCAGCCCTATGACTGTATTTGGTTCCCCCTAACATTTAGTTTCTCTGGGCCCAGCCTTACTGCTTCTCCTCATACCAAAGAATCCTTAAATCTTTGAGTAATCCCACTGAGAAAGTTGCCAGAAACATTCTAATAAAAATCACACAGGACATATTTCTGTGCAAGAATGGGCAGCACCACAGTGATCTACTTAACAATGAGGTAACCCTAACCTCAGAAATTTCCTCAAACATTTTTTCTAGCTTTTGTTATCATGACTTCCCTTACACCAGTCTGAGAGGAAAGAAGGCAAAGTAGATTTAAATTTGCCTCAGAAATCTACCTAGATTTAAGTCATGCTAATGGTTTCAGGAAGTAATCCTCTACTTCCATCATTCATCATGCAAGTTCTTATTTTATTTTGCTTTATTTAACAGTACTGTATAAGTCTGGTGTTAGACAGCAACAGATGCATCAGTGCAGGCTCTCAGGCAGAGCATGATCCTCCAAGGCTGGGGCAGAGGGTGTCTACGATGCCCTGCCCACTAGCCCCAGTCTGTAGACAGACCCAGGCTCTTCCCTTAACAGATTTGGGTGATAACATACAGTGAATTTCTCTTACGAACTCTCTAGAGTTCATAAGCTGCAGTGTTTTCACAGGCAACACAGCATGTTCTTCACGACCACACCAACCATCCCAACCAGAATTCAGTCATCCAGTGCTTGCCTTCAGCCTCCCTACACATGAGAAATGAGATGAGGCATCCTGAGAAGGCTGACACACTACAGCTGCCAAGGCAGGCTGCAGTCTCTCGCATTAGTGGCAGATGACAGCTCACTTATTTGAACACAGACAAAGAGAAGTCTGCCACAGAGCAGTTCCTGCAGGACTGGAGGGAGGAAACAGCTGTCAACTATTTCTTGGATTACAGGGATAAACATATTTCCAGAGACAGCTTTAGGCTATGTGACTCTAAAATCCTGAATACAATTCAAGGTATTCTTGTACCAGGAGAGGAGTCAAACTAGAAGGCTTTTATAGTTGAAAGCTTAAATCTTCTCAGACAAGAAATGAATCTCCTGATGTTATTACAGAATTCAGTAAGAGCCAAAATAAACAATAGCATCACTTTTTTTTTTAGAGAGAATACAGAGTATGTTGGGGTTTATTGAGTTTTGCTTTATCTAGGAAAGAAACTAGAAGACACTGCCTGCCTTTGTTAAGCCCTTGAATGGATGCCTTAATACAAATTTCAGCCTCATTGAGCAGGGTACAAATTAACTACCCGAAGGAAACTATATGAAAAAAAGAGGAAGAATGAACCAGTTCCACAGAAATGAAGACTAAGCCCAGACAAGAGAATAACCTTATTTGAAGAACTAGCTTTCTCATTCTGCTACTTTGAATGATCCTGCTAACTTGGAAATGTAGAAGTGTTTTACAGAACAAAGGAGGATGTAGCTTAATTTTCTCAGCAAGACATTCAATCCTGTAGATAAAAAAATAGCAACAAAATTGCTCAAAACTGGCAAGTTATGTATGGAAACAGTGCACTGAAGAAAACAAATGGGATCCAGAAAAAGACAAGCATTATACAATTTATGGAAGGATTCATGTGCTTTGTTTCCAGCTCTTTAAATGGGAATTCTGTGACTAACCTCGGGGGAAGGAGCACAGGCCATTAACACAAACAAGAAGGAAGAAGTAAGCTCAGTCAGTGAGTCATAGCCACTATGCAAACTTTGCCGTACATCTGTGTTTTCCCATGCTGCTCTGAACCCTTGCCTCAGACTCTTGCAATGGACAGAATGCCAAATATGCGTAGATCAAATTGTATTTTTCCACCCCGGGTTTCTTTTTCAACATGAAAAAGTACCTAATGGAGACTAGAGTTGGCACTTGCAGAGGGATTGAGCAGTGGCCCTGGGTCTAAAACTCATATACCAAAATTTCCTGGTCCTTCAGACAGGGCCTCCAGCCTGCAGAAATGAGCTTCTGTCTCCCTGAGGCTGTGCTGGAAATTCCGGGAGTAGATGAGAAGAAAGCAAGTGGTCACTTTTAATACATCCCACCTGCTGTCTCAGCAGGCTCAGGCATGAACCCTGACTGCTGGAGGAGGCAGGAGGGAAGAACGTGCTGAACATCACTGTGACTGGGGGCTCACCGGAGGCTGTCAGCCTGGCCAAAATTCATCTCCTCAGGCATCCAAACAAAATAACTGCAAAGTTATGTGTTATATTTATGATCAGAAAAATATATGGAGTATTTTGTCATCAAAAATGAAGGCATGGAAAAAGGCTCGAAGCCTGTTTGCTGACAGAGCAGAAGAGACCAGGTGTCTAACACTTTAAAAGTCTCTGTATCTTTGGTGTCTGCACCCCACCCACCCCCTCAGTTTTTACTCCCACAAACAGGAACTGCTGTGTAGTATGCATTGGCCATTTTTCCACTTTCCTCACCACAGCTGGCCTGTGGTCAGCCCTCTCTTTGGCTGGGACAAGCTAAGAATAAGGGTGAAGTACAGGGCACTGACGGTTTCCTTCTATCCTCCCATGGACGTACAAGTAGCACTCAAGACAGCTCCACAGCAGGGACATACAGAGCAGCCTACCTGCCTCCAAAGGGACACAGCACCACTATCACAGTCCCTTACACCCTCTGTGCCTACACATGCTTCTTGCTCTCAGTAAATGTAGGTGACTGCAAACCACCATCCTGTCCCCAGGGAGCCTGGGCTGGGCTAGATGCATTTCTGAAGCAGAAGAAATGACAGTACTCATGCAACCAGATGCTTTGAGCTTGAAGTACATGAGAGAAGCCATTTATCCAGTGTGTGTGACACCCCAAGAGAAGAAAGTTTACCTGGTTGGTCATAGGATGCCCATGCTAGGTTTTCTCCACATCTTCCATTAGCAGACTCAGAGCTGTGTTTGAGGACCCTCGTGGTAGCCAATTCTTCTGCATACCTAGAAAAGGAATCCACACATTGAGTCACAGACCACAGCCACAGCTAGCAGAGAGGAGGGGGAGCAGGAGGAAGAGAAGGCAATGCAAGCAAGGAATTTTCCTGGAAGATGACAGTTTAAGTCAAGTTACTCAGCTGCAAAGCCCTGAAGCCAGAGATGCTTTAGGCTTACATAAATCTAGGAGCTGGGCAGAAGAAAGGCCTAGAGGCTATTTTTCCTGTCTTTCATGAGCATCTATGTAACTGCTGAGAAGAGACTAGAAGATATCAGAGGGCAGATCTCCCCCCACTATGTTCTGTCCAGCACCTGGAAATCCATCAGTCACCCTTAGCTGCAGCTGCTGGTAGAAAGGGAAGTACCTGCAGCAGTTGCTACAGGTGTCACATCCTGACATTTCTAGCCCCCCCTCAGAGGAGTAACATAAATGTTCTCAGTGAAATGGAAAAAAAGACAGAAGACCACAGTGGGGATTAGTCAAAGCAAGTGTAAAAAAAAAAACAAAAACCACAAACAATTTACAAATTAAAAAAGGTCAAATGCAAAACAAGAGCAATGTGCTGGGTGACAGTATGGAAGAGAAGACAACCACATGAAGAATCTGAGGCAACAACTGTGTACACCAATATAGGGATAAGCAGCACTTTCTATAGAAGTTGACATGTGTGAGAGCATGGGGTGTATTTTATTGTCTTAGGACAACAGGGTTAAGAAGAACATCATGTGTAAAACAATTATTCTCTTTATTCAACATTGGAAAGACTTCAGTCCAGAAACAGTAAAATTGGAAAGGCCATTTTTCTCATGGCACAAGAAATAGGAGGCAACATGAAGAATCATCAGGATGTAGATTTAAGAGTCAAGTAAGACAAAGCACTTTTTCTGCACTGTGCAGCAGAAGTCATCACCACAGGGTGATGCAGACATCAAAGCACATGTGGGTTTGGAAAAGAGCTAGACAAATTTACAGTGTGTGTATGTGGGGAGGAATATTCAGGGCTTATTTAATAACAGCAACAAAAAGATGAGGATACAACCTACTGCTTAGGAAAATCATGATTTCCAAGAGAAATCTGTAATTTCCGGTAGAAGATAATGGGGGAAGGATCACCACATTTGTTTTGTCCTGCTACTCCTTCCCTAATCATGAATTACTGGCATCTGCCATAGACAGGAAATTTGTCCAGCTGAACATTTTGGCCCAAGCTAGTACTTCAGTCAAAAAAAAAAAAAAAAAAAAAAAAAAAAAAAAAAAAAAAAAGAGAGAAAAAAAAGTTATTTAACTACCTCCATTAATTTAGAAATAATGAAAACTTGTCAGTTGTCAGTCTGATAGATCCTGACTAGAGGATCTCTGGATGCTCTTTCATGCCCTGTATCACTACAGTCCTGTAATTTTTCTCTTCACGGATTTCCACATCCCAAGGAAGAGGCAAGACTGGAACAAAGTACACATTGCACTCAAAGTTGCCAAGGATCTGAGACAAAGGGTGATTAATTCACTCTAGCTCAGGCAGTTGAAAGCATGAGATTTGCATCTGAGATCATCACCCTATGCTTCATTACAGTCAGAGATAAACAGACACCTGCTGAGGCTGAATCATCTCATGCTAAAGCAGGGAACCAACAGTCAGTTCATCTAACCTGTCACAATTATTGGAACTGAAAGTATTAGGAAACAGACCATTTTCAACACAGATAGAAAAGTACAGAAAAGTACACAGAGATACATGAAATATATACCAACAAAGATATCAGATATACCTAAAGAAAAGGTGAAGTTCTTTGAATTTAAGATTATGCAAAATCTGTCTTGACAAATATGAGATTTTTTATAGTTCATGTCTTATTCAGATCAAACCAGTTCTGATTCTTGCTATCAACCAGTTTCACCAGTCTCTGAACATGTGTCTTTTAATTCTTACAAGTTACAGACCACAACCAAACAAAGCTTTCTTATTGTTATTCATCACAGTGGGGAAAGTCAGCTGAGACCAGAGAGGACTGGGAGGAATTCCAGAAGGATCTAAAAATACCCAGCAAGGGGAATAGCACACTTAGAGATAAATGTGGAGCACTGCATATTTGACAGAATAATCTGAACTATTCATACAAGTTGACTTGTTCAAACCAACTGTGGCATTTTGGAGACACAAGTGTCATTGACAAGTCAATTAAATTTCTTCCTCATTGTGAGGCATCATGTAAAACAGAAACAAAACAACCCTTTGAAGAACAGAAAGAAACCCCCAGCAGATTACAAAGGTATGTGCATGAGTCACCGGCATTCCTGTATCCAGTTATCATGGTGTCTCAAAAAAAAAAAAAAAAATAAGAAGTGAAAAAGTCAAGAAGGAATCAGGTTTTGCTTGCTACTAGAGTGCATGTCCACACACCACATACACGGTGCATTGTACAGCACAATGCCTGGCAGAGATCTCTGGTCTAAAAGTGCATGAGCTGGTGCATCTGTGTGACAGCACAGCACCATCCTGGGACAGTAAATCAGGTTCTGGAAAGGCTACAGCCTCTCTGGTTTCCAACCAGTCAGCACAGAAAAGTCTGCACAGTTATGGCATAAAGCCTAATGGGAGATGAGATCTCACGTCTGCAGGGATCAAACTAGCCACTACTTAGCTATTATGGAAAGACATTTATTTTCTGAATAGTTTAATCAACATTTACTCTTTCAGGTATCTCCTTTGTACTGTGAAGATTAGCCTGAAAAAATTAAGATTTTTAAATCTACTTTGAAAAAGGTTGCTGTAAAGGGAAAGGAAATAATCTGGTTGTTATCTGCAGCAAAGAGGACAAGCAGTATTGGACCTAAATTTCTCTAAGGAAGACTTAAGTCAGACAGCAGGAAGATGGATCCACTGTACGTTAGACTGCCAAGAAGTTGTGCAGTCTTCAGCACTGAAGAAGAGGTAAGATGTGTTCCTCCTGACAAGCTAGAGAACAACATATACTGATTTTACTTCTGGGGCAGGGAGATAGGCAGTGTGATCTGAAATCGCTTCCTTCTGATTGCATTGATCTTAGACCAGTCATCACTTCCTACCATGAAAAAATTACTTTCTCACTACTTCAGCTGCAGTGGATATTCTCCATCAGATGGCAATCCATCATCTGACAGAGGTGGTGATGAAGCATGTTTTAGGCAACTACCCTCTGCAGAGGAGACATACCAGTGTAGACAGATACAGCCCACATCTGGAAAAGGGTACAAGAAAGATTTACACAGTTGTGACCACAGAAGCATCCATGTGACCAGCTGCTACTACGTGATGGGGAAAGAAGGGATGACAAGAGTTGGGGAGGGAGACAGAAAGAAGAGTAGAGTCCCTCACTTTCCACCCAGTAAGTCTTAATTAAATATCAGAACATCAAAAGGCAAATATTTTTGCAGTATGCACAGTCAAACCTTACGGAAAAAAGTGTCATAAATCTCATTAGAGAAAATAAAGGGCTGAACTCACTGTTGGGCTCCTCTGTTTAACTTCTTGCAGAGTTTTAATGGGGGGACTCCGTGTTTCTTCCTGTAGTCATTGTGTGCTTTCAAGACTTCTTCAGCAAATTGTTTGGAAGCTGAAATCACATCAAAAAAATTGAAAAGGTCTGTCAAATACAGACATTAGTGAAGACAGAAAAATACCACCCTCATTACCTGGGAGTAGGATGAAATGAACCATTAATGCCTTCCATCCAGGAACTAACTCTTAAGAGGCACTCCCATTGGGATGGTACAGACTCACTAAGGTCAAAGAAAAATGTGAACCTTATTCCTTTCCTCAATAGCAAGGTGATTTAGGGTTAGTTTGACTGACTTTCAGTTTAAGATTTCAGCACACTGCATCATGTTGCAAAGAAGTCTCAGAGTAAGCGACAAATAGGTCCTTTAAGGAGATGCACTAAAAATCCAAATTATTGTCACGGCATGCAAGAATTTTCCATGTTAGTCAAGACGTCACCTAAAGAAAACAGAGACACTAAAATGTGTAGAACTATGCAAATACTTTGAAACATGCACCACTCTTTTTATTCATTATACAGTATAAATTCATAGAGAACTCAAAATGCACCTTTATTTGGCTCAAGACAAATAATTGTTCACAAACAGCAAGTGATAAGGAAAGAAATGACTGCTGGGGATGATTTTTTGTTGCCTCCTGTGCTAGAGTGCGTTTGGGAAATATCCGAATTCCAAAGTTACTGCAGAGGTTTTTTTAAAAAAAATCTGTTTGTACCTTGACAAACTTGGAATTTTCAGCAGCACAAGGCAGTGACAAGCAACAAGTCACAATGCAATTCACCTTGATGACAATTTCAAGTTACCTCCTTTTATGACTTTGCTGATTTTTTTCCCAAGATTCAGAGGCAAAAAGTTTTCCCTGACGCTGGCCACCCTGTGGAATTTTCTGCTTTAAAAGAAGTTTGGAACCTGAAACAGGGTATTGGGGAAGTTAGAGAGGTAGGGATAGCATCTTCAAAACAGAAGTTTTCACTTCCCCTACGTTGCTGAAGCTTCTGAACAGACCAAGATATCTTTGAGTGTTTACTCCACTTTTACCATGACACAGGTTTCTACATCATAAGCTTTATTTCAGAATATCCTAATTAGCATGATTACCATTTTCCTTGTAAGACACTTTTGAAGCCCAAATAGACCTCATGACTAGAAAATGTTTTCTGTTATTAAGCTTCCTCAACTTCCTCTCACTACTCAATCCTAACAACTATAATCAATCACTCTCCGTTATTAGTATGTACGCCATTCTGCTGTTTGTAATGATGTATTATCTTCCAGCAGAGCTGTCAACTTGCACAAACTGCTCTCATAAATTTTTTCCTAAGGCGATTATTCAATCCATGCTCATGCTTTAAGCTGTTCTCACAGTCCTCTCCAGTTTCCCCAACAGCTTTGGGATAATACAGCAGCCGAAGATAATCGCAATATCCAATGCACATAGAAAGCCATTACTGTTTCATGCAGTAACTTAAATCTTTTGAAGACAGTCTGAAGTTGGGTTGACCTTTTCTAGACCAAATTGTTATTGTGGACATATATTTAATATGCTTTCAGGCTAGATTTTTTGGTATAAAACTGTTGGCATAAAACAGCAATAGGAACCCTGTTGAGTAAGATGAGATCCACCCACCACCTCTTAGGTTTTCCTTCAATTTTGTATGTCACAAGTTGCATATCATAGAACAAAACAGGAACCTCCACTCTGGTGTTTAAGCACCCACACACCCTTTTGCTGACAAGCCTGTCTCATCACTCTTATTATGATTTCTCCCAGCTCACTGATTCCATCAGGCCAGAGTCCTAAACCTTTCATATGCTGCACCATACAGGGGTCATGGCCTATTTCTATGGCATCTATCATAGGTTACTGAGAAAAGCAAGCCTGCAGCCAGGGTGCTTAATTTCACTGATGCAGGGTGCGCTATGCTTCCATCAGGGAAATTTTCAGACAGCCTGCAGATCAAAGAGTTGAAATACACAGCTTTGGAAGTTGTATCACATACTCAAGGCTGCATTTTTCTGCACAAGGTCATCTTCAAGCTTCTGGCTGTTATCACCTAGCTTAATATCTCATCCACTCAGCATTAAATTATAGATAAACAATCTGACCTACAAGTTTGAAAGTTTCTATAAAAATTATTTGCTCCCAATGACAATAACAAATTGAAATTCTCATTAAAAAATAAGTCAACTGAAATACAGGTTTTGTCAACTGTCAGTCCATCTATTAACAGAAATCTTGTGTAATCCAGCTCTGTACTAACATTTTGACTTAGAGACCAACAAGACATGGACAAAACTGAGTTTCTTCTAGCCATGGTAGGCACTGATATGCTGTCCCTAGAGCATCTCAATCCTCCCCTTCCCTCAAAGGTGGCTGCTAAAGAAACACTAATCTACTGTGACTCAAGCTCATGTGCTAACTGCCTGCCTCTGCACGGCTTCTCCCATACGTGCTGATGTGTGGAGAGGGACGCCCAACTGCCAGCTGTATTTCAGATTTGTTTTGAAAGGCATGTTAAGTTTTTCCATTTTACCAATGTTCCATACACTGAAAAGCCAGATATTAAAAGTGAGAGTTAACGGGAGTTTTCAGGCTTCCACCCAAATGGCAACAGCTTCCCAAACAGCTTTGGAGACGTACTTTTTTCCCCTTCAAGTAGGTTGCTTAAACTGCTAGAAAAATTATTTCCTACTGCCAGGAAGTTAGGTTTGGTCATGAATCATTACACAGCTTAATAAGTAAAACCAGCTATTAGATATAGTTGCTTGCTTCTCATTATTCAATTATTTATCTCTATTTTGGATTCTTCTGGAACACTGGGTAAGGTCATGACAGCACATGACAATGAAATCCCAGGCTATGATGTGGTACAGAGCACATCTTACAGTTGTTATGGTTTGGGACTTTCAGTTTCATTGATCAACTTTGTGTTACCACAGAAAAGTAAGCAGAGGCATTAAGGTTGCCTTTTCCCATCAGATTTCTTTTTCTGAGTATTCTATTTCTTCATTCTCTTATGGTCTCTAAACAGTGCCAATCTACTCAGTCTTTCTCAGGTGAAGAGCTCTTCACTCCTGAATCCTTCCTGCCTCTTCTCTGAACACTGTCTTCTTCTGCTCTGTTCTTCCCTTAGTCTGGACATCAAAACAGAAGTGGGGTATCTGAACATGTCTTCCACAATACTAGCTGCTCAGCATCACCGCTGCAGCTGTCAACTGGACCTAGTCCAGTGGTCTTGCAGAGCTGCAGGATGATGTGGGGAAAGAGTAATGGCAAAATATTTCACAAAACATAAATCCTCTCTATCCAATATTTACACAACAGAAATGCTATGGGTAACCCTTATGTCAGCACTCAGGACACATTTTTTTTTTTTTTTTTTTTTTTTTTTTTTTTTTTTTTATGGCTAGGTATCCACTCCAGTGATTCAAGAAAGAGCACAGTATCAATTTCTAGAAGTATCATTGTCTCTCAGTGGTCTCTGTCCTATTGTTTACAAATTAATATTCATTGGTAATATCGTACTTTCTGTATATACCATGGTTTTCTACTTAGCCTTCAGATAATTAACATAATACAATCAACAAGAGAAAATTGCGGTTGTTCACCCCGGAGAAGAGAAGGCTCTGGGGAGACCTTATTGCAGCCTTTCAATACTTAAAGGCAGCTTATAAGAAAGATGAAGACAGACTTTTTAGTAGGCCCTGTAGCGATAAGACGAGGGGTAATGGTTTAGAACTAAAAGAAGGTAGATTCAGACTACATATAAGGAAGAAATTTTTTACTATGAGGGTGGTGAAACACTGGAACAGGTTGACCAGAGAAGTTTGTGAAAAAATTCATTGGAGGCTTCAGGGAACTGTAAAGTGATTATATCAAGAAAAGCTTTTTTATCCCACATAACTGAAGATACCTTTATTTCAACAAACTTCTAAAAGCATATTAACAGACTGGAAACAAAATTCTTGAGTAAAAGATATCCCCGCTTCTAATGATCACATTTTCATCTAGACCTTTCTAAGAGACCTGACGTATTTATCATTAATAATCTTTATTCTCACTTGAAATGTAATTCCCCGGAAACTATCCCTAGCTGAATCTTTCACACTCCGAGAATAATGTTCCTTCAATGGAGAAGTGATGGATATTTAACTGATATGAGAAATATTAAGAGGACAGCTATACCTCTACTGCATTTTGACTCAGCACTTTGAAGTCACAAACACTCCAGGATGGTCTTATACGGGCTGGCCTCTGCAATGCCACAGGGAGAGAATATTCCATGTTTCTTTCTCTGTGTATTTGACTGCTCTTTCCTGCTCCCTGTGTGGGACAGTAATGTCTTTAAAGACTGGCCCTTAATGGTATTCCTAAATATGTCATTTGGGAGCATGGATCTGACACTTCAATTCATGAATCACTTCCAGCCATAAAAATTGACCTCCTTCAGTGCTAAACTCCCCTGTTCTCTAACAAAACTGGCTGATTGCTTGGAAACATAGAGAAATGAAATCATACATACATCCTGGAGGGAAGGAAAGATAAAATGATACTATGTTCAGAAAGCATTATATCCTGGGTGGGGTTTCTTTGTCTTCTTTTACACCTCTGAACCAAGAATTCAATGAAAGGGCAACATGTCCATCCCATAAAATAGGCATTTTATGGGAGATAAATAGTGTTGGTACATCATTTCCCTTCCAATTTAAATTATCCTATGACCCTACTCAGAGTTACAAGAGAAAGTATTGCTTATGGGAAGGAAAGGAATTGAGGGGTATAGTTAGACAGGAGTTTGAGTGCAAGTAGTTTCCTGCAACATTCTTGTGTCTATCAGGCTGCTCAAAATACCTTTCCCTTCAGCTCAGGAGATCCCTTTTCAGGAAGGAGATTCTCTGATGTCTTTCAGCATTCAGTTTTGCCTGAATTTTTCTTACACACCTGCTTGTCACAAGAGTGAGCTTCAGGAAAACAGTAAGATGTCTGAGTTAATTGAACCTGATGGACAAAGTCCACACTCATTTTATTATCTGGGTTTCCTCTACAGCAAACCAG